TTTAAAAGGGATTGAGAAATTAATAATAATAATCATAACAATAACAATCCTTGCATTTGATTACAGCGCCTTATCACGTGGTTGAGACGTCTCAAAGCGCTTCACAGAATACACTATAAAGCGAATTGTCTGTGTATCTGGTGGGTGAAACGCGGTTCACTAATACTCTCAGATACCCCAAGGCGGCAGAATAAGAGGGCACAAGCACAGGGTTGCAAATGGCAATTTCGTATCAGACACCGAGTGTTCCCTTAACCAGATGTTAATTAACGACTTAACATTTCACGTGGACTCAGCACCATACAATCAAGATTTAACATGGGATCACCCTTGATCTTAGTTAAGTTAAGATTCTTGACTCCCTCCCTTCTCTTTTCTCTAATTGTGAACTTTTCATAACACACTTTCGACCTCGTATCAAAAAAATTCAGTCACTCAATCCGCGACGTGGGACACTGTTTGCGGGACACTGCTATGCGCAATTGGCTGCCGCGTTTCGCCCACAAAATATGCAGTCCATTCATTTTATAGTATATTCTGTGAAGTGCTTTGAGACATCTCGAAGACATGATAAGGCACTATATCAAATGCAAGGTTTATTATTATTATTAACTCTCCCCCACGCAAAAAAATACTCAGTCTTCAAATATAGCCAAAGCGCCTCATCTACAAAGTTACAAATAACCACACCACAGGGAAGATTAACAACTTGTCATGGGATGATGTGGAGAGTTGGATGAGGAGAAATTCTTTTAAAGGACACAATTATTATAAACTTGGAAACCTGAAGCTAGATGCATTTTAAAGAGTAACCACAGCAAACGTATAGTCTAGACTGTCACAGTCCAGTGAAGTTTCCTCTTAAAGACACTATAAAAATATGATTTGTTGTTATATGTGGACTTGGATGAAAAATGTAACCGAAATCAATGGAAAACTGAGCGATGCAAATTTGATGCCAAGGCAGCAATTAGCTACAAAAGATCTGAGATGGTTCTGATAATGGCCCTAAGCAAGGGGGCAAGTTAGCTGGTCCAAGTAGTCTTTTCTCATCCAACCTTCAGAACTACATTCTGGTCAACCCGACTGGGTCTCTGCCGTTATTGCTCTTGAACCAGTCGCTGAAATGCATGTACAGAACAAGCTGCGTGAGATCAGGCATTCGTGGTGTGGATTAGGTAAGCAGGATGCATCCCTCCAAGGAGACAGTGTCGATTCCATTCCGACAATCTATCTTTGAAATTTCCACGTGTAGGTGGGATGCATGGAATTCTCGGTTTGGTTTGGATACTCCTAAGCAATGGTGATGGGTGTCCGCATGCATCAGACACCATGCCGACCTCAAAATAAAATTGTGGGGAGGAATGGTGGAGGAACAAAGATAATTTTGGTCACGGCTTGAGTTCAGCGGTAGTCTGAGTCAGTTTATCCTCAGAGGCTAATTGGCACAAACAGCCCCAATGATGACCACTTTTATGGATTACATGCTCTGTGCGTGTCTGACAAATGAAGTGTTTTCTGCAAATTACATTTGTTTTGTTTGGCTGTGTTGGCATCCTTGCTAGATAACAATAAAAATAAATTGGAGAATGCAGTTGTTCAGTGTCTGTTTAGCATCAAAATAGTCCAATTTTACCAACTCACAAATCAAGGAGTTTTGCGAATACTACTGGCGGCTGCAAATAATGACTCCCTCCTCCCTCCCTTTCAAACTAGGTTATGTAATCTGAAGGCTTAATGTACTACATGATTTAAACTTTGTGTTTACATGAATTATCATTATAATAATTATCCTTGATTTGATAAAGCACCTTATCACGTCGCTGAGATGTCTCAAAGCACTTCACAGAATATATTGTAAAGTGGATTGACTGTGTATTTTGTGGGCGAAACGCGGCAGCCAATTGCGCACAGCAATGTCCCACAAACATTCATGGATTGAGTGACCAAATTCTTCTTTTTTGGAAGGATTGTTTGCCCCAGAAGGCGATCTGCCAATCGACTAACAACCGGATTCCCACTTACTGCTAAGTAAACAGAGGCGTGTGGATTAAGGAAACTTGCCTTAAGATTTCACCCCACCCAGGAATTGAATTAGGGTCAACAACAACAACAAGAAATTACACTTGTATAGTGCCCTTTACATCGGAAAGATGTCCCAGGGCGCTGGACAATCATGGGTCCTCTCGCTTGTGGCCAGAGTCCGCTGAGGAAAACCGTTTGCTATACACTACAGGAAGGATTGTGACTGAAGTTTGAACTGGACCAGACTGTTTTAACAATGACTAAAAAGATAAGTCATCCCGCAGCCCAAGAATAGATGCTGAATGACCCGTGGAGCCGGCTAGCAATGGCGATTGAGACATATTCCTGTGAGGCTTGTGGGCCAGATGGCAG